TGTAAACGCTGCACGCTCATACTCTCTCCCGCACTCGAGATATGATCCATTGTTGATCTGCACACGTCTGTTACCACGAACATCGCACGTTATGTTAGCACGTTACATTAGCACGTTACATTAGCACGTTACATTAGCACGTTACATTAGCACGTTACATTAGCCTGAACAATTCACAGAGATCTCAGAGGTTTTGCTGTCAGTTTCCTGCCCTAAAATATAATAAAACTGCAGCTTTCAAATATCAGTTTGATGATGAAACAATAAACAACATTTACAAGAGGCAACACTACACCAAAAATCCACCGTTTTCCACAATAACCCCCCAACCCTTCCACACCGTTGTGTCGTGGCCAGTGGCGTTGGTGCCCCCCGGCACACAGTGAGTGGTCGTTTGTCACCGTGTTCTCATGCAATCAGCTGAGGCATCAGAGCGCAACTAGCCTGAAGGCGTGAGGGACTGCTCGGTGCCAAAATGAGCGACCGGAGGGAGTCACGAGGGAGCGAGATGAAGGCAAGGAGAGAACGAGAGCGGGAAATACTTGAGAGAGCCAGTAGATGCAGTACACACTCTCAGAGGCTTCTGTCACTGCAGAGTTAGAGGAAGGCACCGAGGGAGGGGGGGGCTGATATGGAAATAAAGGAGGAGGAAAGTGAGGACACAGGAGAAAAAAGAGACAGGTAATGAGGATGGGAATCAAAGTGAGTGACAAAGGAAAGGAGGGGAAGGAGGATAAAAATAGGAGGGGAAGGCGAGCATTCAAGAACGCGTGAGAAACGGCGCTCTCTGCAGCTCAGACCACGACGCCACACTGCAGCATCACTCCCACTGTCCAGCAGCACACTGCGTTTGATTTATGACCTCATTACAAGGCCGCTGTCAAGGTTAAAAAAAGCGAATTCATCTACTCACCACACCTCTGGGTGCAGAGTGTCCACCCACGAGCTCGGCTCTCAGACTACAGACAGCATTCATGTTTTTAAATTCATTTTGAGGGCACACTTCTCTTATTTATCCTGCAGAATTATTGCTCTCTTTTGGTGCTATTCTGTGTACGGGAGGGTCTGAATCAGACGTATTGCTAATGCATAAAGAAACAAGAGGGCAGGGAGGAGCTGGAGTCATGAAACAGATCGAGCTTTAAGGTCCACTATAGAATTAGCCTCTGGTTCTCATTCTACATGCACAAAATGCTCCCGTTGCTAATATCACATATTCAATTCAATTCAATTTTATTTATATAGCGCCAAATTACAATAAGGGTCGCCTCAAGGCGTATCCCTGTAGAGAACTGCTTCTGCCAATTAGCAATATGTGAAGTCCAGCGCAGGCTGTCTGTTTGATAGACTGGGGCTCAGTGCAAGCTCAGCTCATGCGCTTCCATGTCAGACCCAACTTTTTGCAGGATGAGCAAAGATTTATTCAAAATAAATCAATCAACACCATAAAAATGTGGCTTTTTGCCCAACTTAGTTTTGCGTGGCACGCATTCAGTTTTCATGGTCAGGATTGAACCTTGTTGCAGTTGGAAATTTGTATTCATGCCTGATCCTGCAGAAACCTCCAGATTTAAAGGAGTAATCCAGTTACTGTGAGTATCATGTGGGACAGTCAGAGCAGGTAGATTAGAAAAGAATGATCGAGAGATAAGTATGAAGTATGAACCGATCCTCACACAATGAATTCTGTGTTTTTCATTGTTTAACTGAGTTCTGACTTTCTTTGAACTTCAGCTGTGTTTATCTATCCTCAGAATTACATTTAAAGCCTTTTTAACTAATGAATGTAATCACCTCCACCGGGAGGTTAAACATGGAAGCTCAGGAGCTTTGAATGAATTTGGCTAAAGCTTCGTAGAGGTGTAGAGTGGGCTCTTGTTAACAATTCATTGAAGAGTTGCCTCACTTCCACCGAGGTCTTCAAGATCAACTCAATGATTTATTGGTGGAAAACTGACAGAAATCTTTGTAACTTGGAAACTATGATTTTTTACCCTCACACCTCCACATTGTTAGTTTTTCTTCACCATTACATTTTAGCTGCTGGACACTTGAACAACATGTCGCCTTCACTCAGATTTAAACACAGATCAAATCAGTCCCTTGCCTGGTCTTACTTCAGGGTTTGTCTGACCTTTCTCTACCACTTCCATTTAAATAACAAATTACTGCAACTCAGTGAGTTTTAGTCACAAAGTTTAGGATCTCTTACATAGTGTGTGTTTTTTTATCAACAAATCTCCACATGGTTCCCTTTCCTTCCTTTAAAGCAACACATCACCCAGCAGAGAATCATCTGGTGTCTCGTGTTAACAGTTTATTGCATTCTGCACTGTTACCCTGTTACTGCAGAGCACCGTTCACCACACTTTACCGTTACACTGAGCCACTGTAGTGTCGTCTCATATTTATTTTGATATCAATTCTGTTTTTGAAATAATTGACTCAATATATATTTATATATTACCATCATTTATTTCTTTACATATGCCATTGGACTTAGAGCCTGCGGCACAATCATAACTGTTGCATGTTCAATGAACTTAGAGTCTCATGTGATCTGTTGGACGCTCGCAGTCACTTTCTGTCTTCAGAGCTTCAAGAAAGCAATAAAATGACATCATGTTGGAGTCAGTTTATGATAACATGACTAAGTGTGATAAATCGGTGAACACTGTGAATCTGTTGCTGTGTATGTACACGGAAATTCACATCACACAAGCTTTCACATTATCTTTTTCATTCAGTCTCGGAGACTTGAAACACAACTCTAACTGTCACAGCTGCAGATTTATTTGCAAAGTGTTCAGCAACCTTGCTTTAAAATGGGAAAATAACCAGAATGCAGCCAGCTGGCAACCAGTTGAATTGAGTCTCCTTCTACAATTAGACACTGTTGCCAACAAGTTGCGTTCACTGACACAGACTCACACTGATTTCAAAGTGTTGCCAACCTGTCAAATTAGGCATCTGCAACCTTGGTCATTCTACCCGAGGATGAGTTCAGTCAGAGACAGGCTGCTTCCCATTTGATGAGCTGTGATCAGCAGTGGTCACCCAGACGTCGAGGGTTTCGCACGCTCAGTCTCTGGATGGCCACAATGTTGCACAGCAAAAAGTCTGAGGTCAAATCCAGGCTGGTGCTTTTCTGTGTGGAGGTTACACCTTCTCCTCGTGCCTGTGTGGGTTTTTCTCTGCTGCCCTGGCTTCTTCATGGTAAAAACATGTTTGGGTCCGCCCTGAACAGCTGTTCTAGCATGCTTCCTCCTTCTGAAGCAGGAAGGGTAGCAGCTCTTTCTGCTGATTGGTTGCTCCTTGCAAGGAAGCGAAGGTTTGAACAGCAGGTGGGAGGAGCTTGTGTGCTCAAAAACAAACATGGAGCTGGACCAAGATCCAAAATAGGGATTTGCACCATGTATGATGTCATGAAGCAAAACATTAATAAATAAATGAAGTAGTTGAATTTTGACTCCAGTACAAACGTTATAATTGAGTGTTGGAGCAGTGATGACTAATCACCATGGAAAACAAATCTGTTCAGTACTCGAGGCTATCCGGTTAGCTCAGAAGCAATCATCACTTCCACAAAATATCCAATCAGTCTTTTATACATGCTATTAAAATAAACCGACCACGTGGTCTTTTTCACTGCCAACAACCACACAACAGCCACACAACTCAGCTACTATTCGCTCACTTTATAAGTATGTGTGGGGTTACCTTTGAATTTTAGTAGGCCTTCCTTATAATCGGACTTAAGAAACACGCACGCACACGCACGCACGCACACACGCACACACACACACACAGGCAAAGTCACACTCCCTGAGAAAGTCAAACTGCACAGTCAT